AAATAAATAAACAAAACAACTTATAAAAATAAGGAAAAATATATGAAAATTTCAGAATATACTATTTTTTAAATTAAATTTTATTTTTTGATTTTAAAAACATAATAATTGGAAAATTATTTTTCTAAAATTAAGGTATGGTATGGTTATTTATTGAATTAAGTCGTATATCAATTTTCACGTGGAATCAGATACCGGATTAAGAATAAAAAAAATGAATTAGAAGATTCCGATGATCGATGATAATCACTCTTATCTAGGTTTGATTTTGAACCTCAAATATCAATATTGAAAAAGATATTTTTGTATAATTTATTTTCTAGGTTTTCAAAGATATTTTATTTATTTTAAACATTTATAAGTTTAAAAAATCAATTGATAGTTAAATATATTTATATTGATAAATTTAAATAAATTGTAATTTACACCCTTCTTTTGTGTGATATAATCTTGACTTCATTTATAATTGAATTTTCTTTGCTTTTGGGAAAAAGTGTAAAATTAAATTTTTATCCACGTCGATGTTAGTTATATGCAAAAAAATCCAAAAAGTATTTTTAATCTAATTACCTTCTCTCAACAATAATATCCAAAACAGTAATCGGTACTTTAGTATTAAAAATGTTAAAATGAAGCATATATTTTTTAATGTTTACCTAATAAATTTTAAATAACTAATAAAAGTTTAAATTTTTAAATCGGTCAGCACTTTTAAAATTAGATGGAAGGGCGTAGGCTAAAACCCAGCTTGTTTCAACAATTATTTTAAAGATCTTAAAATTAACGATTATATTAATTGTCATATGTCACATCCTCATTTAAATTTTAAATTAACATGTTTACAATTTATTTTACTCTGTTACTTCAAAAAGTTTAAAAAATAATGATTATGACAATTGTCACTTTTCTATGGTACATCTTCACTGAAATTTTAATTTATCATGTTTACAGTATATATTTTTACCTATTTGCTTCAAAATTTCAAAAAACTTAAAAATGACGATTATGACAATTGTCACTTTTCTATGGTACATCTTCGCTTAAATTTTATTTTAACATGTTTACAATATATATTTTTACCTATTTGCTTCAAAAAATTTCAAAAAAACTTAAAAATGACGATTATGACAATTGTCACTTTTCTATGGTACATCTTCACTGAAATTTTAATATAACATGTTTACAATATATATTTTTACCCATATGCTTCAAAAAATTCCAAAAAAACTTAAAAATGACGATTATGACAATTGTCACTTTTCTATGGTACATCTTCACTGAAATTTAAATATAACATGTTTACAATATATATTTTTACCCATATGCTTCAAAAATTCCAAAAAACTTAAAAATGACGATTATGACAATTGTCACTTTTCTATGGTACATCTTCACTGAAATTTAAATATAACATGTTTACAATTTATATTTTTACCCATATGCTTCAAAAAATTCCAAAAAAACTTAAAAATGACGATTATGACAATTGTCACTTTTCTATGGTACATCTTCACTGAAATTTAAATATAACATGTTTAATATATTTTTACCCATATGCTTCAAATAATTCCAAAAAAACTTAAAAATGACGATTATGACAATTGTCACTTTTCTATGGTACATCTTCACTGAAATTTAAATATAACATGTTTAATATATTTTTACCCATATGCTTCAAATAATTCCAAAAAAACTTAAAAATGACGATTATGACAATTGTCACTTTTCTATGGTACATCTTCACTGAAATTTAAATATAACATGTTTACAATATATATTTTTATCCATTTGCTTCAAAAAATTTCAAAAAAACTTAAAAATGACGATTATGAGAATTGCCACTTTTCTATGGTACATCTTCACTTAAATTTTATTTTAACATGTTTACAGTATATATTTTTACCTATTTGCTTCAAAAAAGTTCAAAAAAACCTATAAATGACGATTATGACAATTGTCACTTTTCTATGGTACATCTTCACTGAAATTTTAATATAACATGTTTACAATATATATTTATACCTTGCTTTAAAATAATTTTAAAAAAGTTCAAAAATAACAATTTAAAATTTTAACCTGTTCCTTCAAAGAAAAAGAAATTCCAAAAAAAATATATTAAAAATAACTTATATATAACTCATATAGTTATTTTAAGGACAAGTTCTCACTTTACTTCTTTTTGTTTATCTTCTCTGTTTTTAGTCGACTAATTAGTCGTTTTGGTCTACTAATTAGTCGTTTTAGTCAACTAATTTAGTCGCTAAAGTTTTTAGTCGAATTGTTCGACTAAAACTATTAGTTAGTCCTCTGTTAGTCGACTAAATTTAGTCAATTAACAACACTACCATTTATAATTAAATTATATAAGAAAAGATCTTTGTTTAAAAAGTACAAGAATTTTAAAGGTAGACAGCTACCCATACGAAAGATATAATAACATCATCCATCCTTCTAATTAAACCTGTTTTTAATCATTCTGTAATATTAAGAGTGTCGAACCTAACCTCGTAAACTGAACCTATATAATTTAAAAATTTTTAATGAATCGAACCTTTTTGGGAAAAATTTAAAGGAGCTGGCCGTACCTTTTTAAATCGTTATAACTCTATAAACAGGTTCATATAGGTTTTTTATTTTATAAATATTGATTAATGTACCAATGCTAAAGCACTCGAAGACCCCCAATAAGTAGATATAATACTTAAGGGATATATTTTTGACAAACATATCGCGTTTGTGGTATCTTTTTAGTTTTTAGCATATTTCTCTTTATGTATTATTTTTTTAAAATATATTTTATTAATTTACGCTAACAAAATATGATGCATTCTGTGTTTTTCTTATCTTGATCACTGATATCAAATATTATTGTCAGATGACAAAATAACAGGACTAGAAAATATTTTACAAACTTGACATGTAATTGAGATATGATGTGATGATATAATGAAAATAATTATCCAGACCATGAAGATGATTTTCAATCTTTATTAAATATTTGCATTTTGTGAAAGAAGAAAATTAGAGCAACCCGCAGTCTATTGGCAATAATAGCCATGTATGCCCTAGCTTTACAGATATAAATTGAAAGAATATTCTAAAGATTAAAATATATTTTATCATGACAGATAATTGAAAAAAAAATTGGTTTAGCTTTAAATAGTGTTTTAAGTTCCTTATTCTTATATATTTATCATAAAATAATTTATAATGCTTTATATGGGTATCCTTTATAAAAAATTATTATTAATATATGAACCTTTATTACCTTTATAAAATTTAATTCCTTAACCTGAGCCGAACCTAAATGGGTGATACGTTTGAGCATGTGAATCCATATCCATGTATATGATGTTAGTCAAATGCACTTTCTTTCACTATCAATTAATTAGGATTCGTCTGCCCCTTTATTAACCGCCTTTATTAAACTGGGTCAAGAAAATCCTTAACTAAACATAGCCTGGTTCCAGGATTCTCGACGATTCTGATTCTAGGCATCTTTATACTGACATCTCTGAAAATTCTTGTGAAAAAACGGTAAGCAGGAGAATTAATTTATAAAGAAAGTACTCAGTATATCCGAAATTATACGAGAAATTTATCCTTCATCTTTCTTATATTCCTGAGCCTACAAGTTTTGATTTTTTAAGAACATTTAATGTAGTCGTATTTAATACTTTCAAAGATTATTTTTCATTAAATCCATCATTCCTTTGGGATCGTTATAGATCAAATGGAATTGAAGATTATATATGCACTCATAATGATTCAATACCTTTAAATCTGGCTCTTTTGGACATTTAAATTTTTTGGGCGATAGTTGATTAAATTGTCATTTCCAATTTTCTTCAGAATGGTACATAAGATATGCCTACAGTAACAGATGATTTTATATATATACATTGAGATTCACCAGCATAAGGATATTTAGTTAAGATCTTAATTCTTGTCTTTTTTGACCCGTCAAATAGGCAGGTTAAATTAAATGGTAAAAGCAAATCTCTTTAAACGGTAAACTATTGATGATTTTTATTTGCCAACAACCTCTCATGGATTCGTATGTGTAAAAATATCGCGCATTTATATAATTTGTCATTTTATTATGGATCACATACTTACATTTTACCGGGTGTCCTTGATTACATCGAACAAATTAACAGCCATATTTTGTATGAAAAATTAGAGATACGCATCATGATTCGCGACTCAGGTCTGAATAATAGTTTTCCCGTAAGTGCTAAATTATGAATTATGACAGGTTTAGAGTTTATAACTTGAATCATGATGCACAATTCATAAGAAAAATTATATATCGTCTGCTGAGTATTATAGTGTTCTATATCCACATTTTTGCAAACTTAATTTTATCAATAAATCAATTTTTCGGTGTGGTGTATTCCTCCAAATCAACAAAAATATTATTTAGAATAATAATCTATTTACATTGTTATAGTGTTATTTCCTATTAAAATACAAAAAATATTTTTTTAAAAATTCTCTCCTGAAAAATTTTGAAAAATGGATATTGAACAATTATAATAATTAAGTCGACGATACATAAATTGATTTTATAAAAAGGAAAAAAAAATTATATGCAATATTTGAAGAAAATTTTTTTTTGTTTTCCTTTAGATAATTTTGTTTTTTAAATGTTAAAGAGACTCTTGATCGTCATCAAAAGATTTATCTAAATTAATCTACACCCATTTCAATAATTTGAAGATAAATACTAATATCCATTTAATATAAGATTACAAAAAATGATGAAAAGAAAGGATCAAAATGAATGCAAAGAATACTGTCTTAAGATCTTTGTCCAGGACTGGACGAGAATTGACCGTTTTCCAGGACGGAGCTGGGTGAAGAAACTAAACACTTGTCGATAACTTTATGGCATTTAATCACAGCTAAAAAGGATGGGACGGAGCACTTAATATGACTAGGAAGAGAATGAAAATAATAATTATTCTTTTTTTTAAAAAAATGTATTGTTTTTAAAGGAGTAGCGCCTGACGAAGAACTTTTTAATATACTTAAAGATAGGTTCGGAGAGTGGACTCACGTGTTGAGGAAATTCAGGAGAATAATGTATTGGAAGAACAAGTTCAAAAATATAAATCCTTTTTTAGGCATCACACAACCTCTAGAAGATTTGATACCCCCTTCTGCCTATGGAAAGGTTGACAATTTAGTGAGTTCAACAAATTAATAATAATTTATTTTCTTTTTATTTATTTGTAAGAATGCAATTCATTTTTGTCTATACGGTTATAAAATGTCTTCGCAAATGTGTACACAAATAATTAAAAATAGTTTTACTGTTTTTTAAATAAATAATTGATTATGTTTTAGTAAAAAAAAAGTATTTCATCAAGGAAGGCTATGTAAAGCTTGCCATGTTTGAAGGGGTTCTACTTATAGCATTTTAATTTTAACGGGATTTGTGTTCTATAATTAAACACTATTTTTAATTCTGCATCAATGAGACTTTAAGAAATAATTGTAAATGATGAAAGTTGCATAAAATATCATTAAAAAATTTATAAATCTCCTTTCTCCCACAAAGGGACGTTTAACAATGACATGCTCTCAATTAGCATTATACAGGATGTACCAAGACGTGGATATGGACCTAGAAATTCATACGTTTTATCCTTCGCACAATATTCCTACTTATCCTAATTCCTCTAACTTGATTGAAAGTATTATAATAATAGTTTATAATATTAATTATGAAAATTTATATGTGTTCGCTTTAACATTGGAAATACGATAGATCTTATAAGAAAATAAAATTATATATTGACATCTATAAAAGAAGACTATAATAATCAAAAATTTCTTGAATTAATGTTTACCTATGTAGTGTAATGTTTCTATTTGAAAAAATGGATCATGAATTTGAGTAGGGGGGAGGTAAATTGTGAACGCCGTGTTTTTTTAAAGGTTATTATGAAATTGCAGTTCACGTAATTGTCCCAAATCTTAGCCAACATCAATCATAGTTTAGGTAAATAAAGCAATTTAGATTAAAATTTGCTAGTACATTGACCTTTATTTAGAAAAATAATAATACCACTCCTTCGACCCACCTACAGATAGATTAATACTTGCAATCTTGGTTTCAGATATTTAAGTAGATTATATTCGTTCCCAAAGTAAAATTTTATTTAAAAAAGCATCATCATTAAACTGATACTAATGATTCTAAAAGATAGTAAAATCGAGTATCTTTTTTTTTTAAAGTTCTAGCCTTATTTATTGTATTAATATAAAATTTTATGGAGTAAACCTCCATCAGAATTTGTAATTGGATTTGAAGATATTAGCTAAAAAAAGTGAGTTGTTTCCATTATACTCGCTATTTATGGTTCTCGTATATTTTAATAGATGAGTTATAAAGAAGGAATATATTTTGTATATTAATGTGTCTTATTTTACGATGTATAAAAAACGACAATATTTTTTTAAATTTTTTTTTATCTCAAATGTTAGTGAGTTTGGTTTTGAAAAAAAGAGATTATTTGGTTATCTATATAGAGGCAATAACTTGTCGAAATTAAATCTTATTAATTTCACATTAAGGCTAGTTACTGAAAATTCTCACTCAAATAAACGCCCGAGATTAGGAAATATAATGTTTGATTTATTAAATTGATCGAAAGCATGAGCCCTACAAATTCGTAAGCACTTTTTTTGGACATTGATTTTAAGATGTACATTCTGGTGTATTTTCGTAATAAAACCACAATATTTTATTTTCCTTGAGGGCTTATAATTTCCATCTAAAATTAATTTTTTTTAAATTTGGGGGATTCGACCTTGACCGTATTATAAGTGGGACCAGGCTTGATCGGTAGCACATCACTGGGAAAAAATTGACCTGGGCCCCAATACAAATCTCTGGAAGATATGTTTTTATAACCACGTTTAAGTATTTTGATTCGACTCGATTTAATATTAAAATTAATGAATAATGTTCACCCCCTAAAATAGTGGTATTTCTGAATTAAGGGGTTGTTTATTGATTAATTATTTTTCTAGGCTTTCCTTCCATGACCTTGCCATAGCGCTGAAGCGTTAGAGTAATTGAGCACTTGGTAGCCATTATAAAAAACATATATAGAATAGTTTTAAATAGTTATCTTGGCCCTAATTTTTCTAGCCCGGCCTGGTCAGAATTTTTTTTAAAAATTTGTCCTTCCCTGCCCGATCCCAAACGAATTTTTTTATTTGTCTCGAAAAGCCTAACCCGAAATAAAAATTATTTGTTCGCCCTGCCTGAATTTATTTAAATATAAAAAAATTTAATTTTTTTTTATATAAAAAATATTATATAATTAGAAAATATTAGCGCTTTGTTTCTTGCAAGAATTTTAAAATATATCAATTTATTTGACAATGGATTCATATATTTTAAAATTTAAGCCCAGAACAAATTTTTTTTAAGAATATTAGGCCCGACCTCGAGCCATGTTCGGGCCGGGTGATTTGCAGATCTCGAGTTTAAAATATATTTTATATTATTCGGAACTATATCAACTAGTAAGCAGTGCATAAAAAAGTTTAATATGCAAACGCCGAGATATCCAAATTTTCGGAAAATATATTTTGAAACTCGATTTTTGCCTTTCTATTTTTTTAACATTCTCATTAGAATGCTTTAGCATGGCTTTAGCCTACATATTATTACGCAAACTATAACTGTAATACTATGCGTATTATTGTACTGGTTATATAATTAACCTGTTCATTCATTTTAACCGCTGTTAATACAATTGCAAATAAATAATATGAGAGTTAAAACTAACCATGTTTTAGAATAATAAATTTTTTTATAATATAAATAATAACTTATCTATTTTTTTAACATTTTTTTGCTCCCAATTGTATAAACTCGTTACGCTTTAAATATCCTTAAAAATATTTAGGTTCAGAATTCGATACTGAGAAAGACTCCGATGAATCCAATAAACCTTTTATCTACGATGCTAATAATGAAGGTAGTTATACTAAAATAATGATAAACCACGAAAATGGAATCATGAGAGCCGATTCAAGACACCACACTTCTTACCTCATAAAACGAGATGATAACAAATGTTTGAAGGCTAAATTTAAGGAACTTAAAGAATTAGATGTATTATATAGTGACATCATTAATTAATTGTTTATTAATTATCATCGTTTTGCACCACTGATTTTTTAACATTACATATATTCTAGGAAATTAATTTAAATTGTTTATGAATATAATAAAAGATAATATATATTGAAAAATAAAATAAGAAATAATGAATACTAGCCCGATTTAAAAAGAAAATAATTTAACCTCAAAAAAGAAACATGATGAATGCCATTACTCTTTATTTTTCAAAAAGTTAACGAATAATTTTTATCTATATGAGCAGTTGTATTAATATAAAATTATAATAATAAAATATTTGTTATTTCTCATAAGCGTAATATAAAAGACCCTTTCGTTTTTCGTGAAACGCTCTTGGAATCATATGACAAATATGCTGATTTGTTGGACAAATCTCAATGGACATTTATTGTGGGGCAGACTCCGGAACAAAAAGCCTTACTAAATCAACTTGTACAAGAATTTGGGGAAAAAGTTAAGATTTGAAATATAAATGTATAATATTTACCCCGTACCCACATTGTCTCTCACTATCTGATCTCATAACTGGAAGAAATAAATATCAGCTTGGTTTTCATTCCTCTCGAGTCTATGTTATTAATTTTAAAAAATACATTTGCATCTTTTTCTTTACTATAATATCAATAAAAAACTCAAATTTTAATATGTTACAAGGCCTTTTTCAAATAAAAGCAGTGCCAACACTATAAATATAATTTATTAACCAGGAAAATAATTTGGTCAATCTTCGCGTGCATTCTAAAGTTAGCATTATATTTGTACTGAGAATACAGTCTCGCTAAGATTTTTTAAGCGTGAAAATATCACACTACTATGAATTTTTATAATTTAAAAAAAAGTTAATAAATATACTATATATTTTTAATACAAAAAAAAATTTCATCAGAATAAAGTAAATAAGGTTTTATAAAATATGTAATAAAATAAAATTTCTATTTCAAGGACAATAAACCCTCGATATTAACTGTAGAGGGTCCCGATGTAACTTGGGTACAGGGTCGACCCATAAAATATTTTACGTTGAAATCAAATCTAACTCAAAAAGAAATGGCTAAAAGAGAAGGAATAGATAGACTGGATTCTAGGGATTATGATGGTAATTAATATTATTTCAATTATCCCTCCCTTGTGATTCTGACTAGACTGGTCGATATATAGATTTTTTAAATATTTCATGTAGATGTTTCATTCTTTCTTATCTTTCTCTCGAAATTTTCTTTATTTTTTAATTTCTTTTATTTTTATAAGACGTATCCGATTGGCCAATGTATTTCGAAAAACCTGGAATTCCCGTTGACTCTTATCCATTAACTAACGTTCACGAAATTATGCCAGACGGAGCTAAAATATTCGCCACGGTTATATTTAGATCCGATATCACTCCCGAAGACTGGAACTTTTTTGGGGGAGCGACAAAAAAAACAAAAAGTTTGGAAAACATCGAATCGAATTCTTATAAAGCTAGCCAGTTAAACATTTCGAACACCAAAAAATTTGTCCATAACGATTTTTATTTTGACAAAGATAATCTAGATGTCTATGAAAATAATCTGAATAATGATAATCTAGTCGATATTGCAGATGAAGACCATGGTAATAATGATAATTATCGCTATGTCAAAAATCGTGTCGGCAAAGAAATTACTCAAGCTGACATTTTCCACTGGCTAAAATGCTTGGAGGTTTATTTAGGTAAAACGATTCAATCGTTATTGTATACATCAAAATTTTAATATTCTGTTTATAAATACCTGACTACAGAGGCGTAACAGAGACACCACCCGCGGCATTTTTTTTAAATTAGAAGATTGCAAAATATAAAAATTTTATTACTTTATTTAAATAAAAAAATGCCAGATAAATCTTATTATTTTGTAAAAAATATTTTTGTAATATTTTATTCCATTCACTATATTAACTTGTTATATTTTCAATTTTTTTCTAGTAGTCAATTTTTTTTCATAGTTTTTTTTAAAATAACATGATTAATAATTAATTTGCACAAAAAAATTCCTAAATTAATCATATATTTTTTTAGTATTTATTTTCTAGAGTATTATCTTGACTTTATGCAAATATTTTCATACAATAAAGTTATTTTATATGAATTTTCTAAGTTTAAAAAAATTTCCATGTAATTTTTGCGGGGGGAGGGCACTGAGATCCGTTGCTCCTCTGTCTGACTGGTCATTAATTGGTAAAATTGATAGGTTAATTCAAATGGATATACCTATTTTTTGATATCGATTCGACCAAATCATTCGTATTTTTAATAAAATCAGTTATCAGCCGATATCATAATTGGCCTTTCGATCCATTATATTAAAATGGCGAATAAAATATGATATAATATTAGTATTGAACCAGGAAATTATTTTTCTTAAATTTTAATACCCCATTTGCTTTATATAGCTTTTTTAGTCACATATAGGAAATTCCATGACAAATCGACAATGATTTGGACGATTATTTTAATGGATGAAACTTGGTATGAAGGTTAAATGATTTGATATTTTATACAAATCTAAATTTTAATTCCTTTTAAATAAATCCCGAGTTATGGGCCTTCAAAGTTCGATGAGAGTCTTTTCCTCTTTTAACGAATCTCGAAATACTCAAAATATTTTTAGTCTAAAGGTAACAAAATATATATCATTTTGTAGCTCTAAAATATCTCCTTAATAAAATGCAAAAATTATTTTAATCCTTCAAAACTCTGGTGTAAAAATGACGTTAGTTCCCTGGTGGGGTTTAATAGACCCCAATTTCAAATGTATATATCTCCAGTTATATTCATTATTTTTATTTAATATTTGGATATAAGATAGAACTAACCTTAAACTTGTTAAAATATTTATTTATTTTTATTTCTTAAGCTTAGATTAAAGATGATGAGGATAATTATAATTTGTGTCAAAATTATTAAAAAAAGCTTACTTTTTTTTAAATTTTAAATAATAAATTAAAAAAATAACTTATCTATCATATAATCATGATAATTCATAATAAGGATCTTTATTCTTCAATATAAAAAAAATTACACTAATACATTCAAACATAAAAAAAATATAGAATATTGAAATATGTTAAATTTGACATGCAAAACATTTATTACATAAAACATTAATGTGTTTAAACATAAATATATTTTACATATTTGAAAAAAAATATTTTGTTTTTTTTATTTTCATTTTCAGCTTAATAAAGATTTCCCAATAATGTCTTGAATTGTGTTACATCAACTTCTTTAGTAGAACTTTCATATTGGTCAGTATAGTTATTACATATAATATTAATTTTTTCCTTGGTATGATAATCTCTTTAATCATTTTTGGTGTTATGAACAAGTCAAAACATTTTTCTGGAGTGTCAGCTTCTTTCCCTTATTCTTTTACTCCTGGCAGTTGAATAATTAAATTTTGTTGATGAGTTCTTATTCTTTGATTAGGAAGATCCTTTTTCCATCTAGTAAACTTATTTTTTTAGATATTATGATAAACGATTTCATATTTACATAAATATAATTAAGTTTATTGTCTTCAACTAACATTTCTTCATCTAATTCAGATTGTGTATCATGATCACTATCATATATAAAATCTTCATCCTCACTATTAATTATATTGTCATAATCACCTCAAATAAAATGATATTACATCTTAAATAATTATATATTTAACTTTAGAATCTGCAAACGTCATTATAAATGAATTTGAGAAATGAGTCAGCTGGTGAAAAATAAAAATAAAATAACTCCACCAGAGAAAATCCTTATGTTTTATTTTTCATATATCTCATTCAAAATATAAGATTTATATTTTATTTTAAAAATTTTATAATATACTAGTATATATTTATAATTTTATAAATTTTTTAAAAAAAATTTCTTAAAAAATTATAATTTATTCTGGTGGGGTCTCACAAACCACAATCAGTCACAAAATGCTTATATCTTAAAAACTACTCAACCAAAATATATGAAATTTGGAATATAGATTCTAAGATATATTTGATGAAGCTACTGAAGAATCCAGATCATAAACCATTATTATGTAATATCATTTTTAGCATGCCAAGGGTTTCATATACCCCACCATAGTATTGAAGGGTTAAAAAAAATTTCAGTGTCTATTTTCGGTAAAATAAAATTATTTTGAAAAGTTCCCATTTAAAACGATGAAATCCATGAAATATGTTTATTACCAATATATTTACATATATAAGTAAAAATATTAATGGAGAAAATAAAAATTTAAATTTTATATAGTTTTTTACTATTTTAAGAATAAAAAATCAATTATAAAGGGCATTTGAAACGATTGAAACTCATAAAATATGCTTACTATCAATATATTCAAACGGAGAAAATAAGAATTAAAATTTTATTTAGTTTGCATAATTTTAGGAATAAAAAAATTAATTATATAGGGCGCTATCTATAAAAAATAATTAAAATATATTTTATTTTTATTTGGGTATAAAAAGCGTATAAATTTTCTAGTTTACATAATAATTTTATAGAAATATTAACGGTTATTTATAATACATAATGCATATTTTGATTCAAAAAATACATTATAATTATCTTTATTAAATAACTAAACTCTCTCATTGATTTATTTATTACTAAAATTATTTTAAAAAAACTAAATAAAATTTAAATTTTTATTTTCCCCATTAACATTTTTACTTTAATATTTAAATATGTTGTTAATGGACATATTTGATGAGTTTCATCATTTCAAATGTCCTTTATAATTGATTTTTTTATTCCTAAAATTATAATAATCTAAATAAAGTATAAATTTTTATTTTCCCCATTAATATTTTTACTATAATATTTAAATATGTTGTTAATGGACATATTTGATGAGTTTCATCATTTCAAATGTCCTTTATAATTGATTTTTTTATTCCTAAAATTATAAAAATCTAAATAAAGTATAAATTTTTATTTTATCAATTAATATTTTTACTTTATGTTAGTATATTGGCAATATACATTTTTCGAGTTTCATCCTTTTAAATGTGGCACTTTTCAAAATAATTTTTGCATTTCCTGAAGGAGAATTTTGAGTGCTACAAATTGATATTTAATTTGTTACTTTACACCAAATATATTTGGAGTAATTTGATATACGTTAAGGCTCTCATCGAACTTTGAAGAACCATAACTAGAGATGTATTTGAGCTAGAGCAGTAAAATTTCTATTTGTAAAAAATATAAAATCTATTTAACCTTCATGTCAATAATCTATTTAAAAAATGGTCATCTGAAATTACGTTATTTTGGTCGATTTGTTATGGAAAATACTTTTTAACAAAATGACGTTTTTAATCGAACTTAGATTTAAAAAGGCACTTGATTTGGAAAAAATATTATGGTATTTGCAAAAGGACACAATTTGACTAAAAAAGCTATATGATATGTTAATTTTATCATTCTATTTTTGTTTATTAGATTCTCAGAACATTGTGTCCATAATTGATATTTAAAATCGGATAGGCAGATATTAGTGATCGGCTGATATATTTACTTTATATCGGATCAGATTAGACTCTAAAAACCTATACCTATATCAGCATTTTTCCAAACATTTTGTCTTGTAAGTGTAACCAATTCTTTGTCATTCAATTTATAAAAGATTCAAAATAAAAATTTTATAACTATGTTATAACGCAGCTATTATTAAATTTTTAGTTAATTAGTTTGGTTTTTTTTTAAATTTTATTTTAATTTATTGTTTTCCTAAATTATAATCACGAAATATTATTCTAATTGATGGCTAGTTCATTTTTATAAAAACTTATTTTTTTTCGTTAACCTAGATTAATAATGTTTAATCAACTTATCCTTGCATCTCTTATTCCAAAAGAAATTTTTTTTAGGCCGACCTGGTTGGGAGTAAATTTCGTCCAAATTATTACACGGCCGGCCTGTTTTCAATTTTTTTACTACAGTTGTCTGATTCGATTTTTTTAAATACAATGCCTGAACCTAAATATATGTAGTTGAACCCCAAAATAAACAACAATTTATAATATTGGGAAGTGGTTAAATTAAAAACACTGCACATCAAATATCACATTCATCAAATAATTCAGCCAAATAAATTTTTTCGCCCGTCACGGCCCGTAAATTTTTTACCGGTCACGGCCCGAATAAACTAATTTCAGGTTGGTAAGGTACTGGGCCAGTTAATGCAGACTTCTATTTTAGACTATTAATAATTTCACGGTAGGTAGTAATATAAATTAAGAACTGCTTATTTGTATATCACTTTTACTATATTTCTTATCATTACTTCATGATTTAAAAAATTTTTAATCAGATAACAAGAATTTATCCCAGGTGCCTACAGTGATCAATTTTAAATCCGATCCTATCGATATCAGAACATTTCAGTCAAACAAAGATTTCATGGATAGTAAAAGCAGGGATCATTCGAGGCCTATTAATTTTGAAGAAGTTCAGCATCCCGTTTACAAGCTTTAATTTTTGGTTGTGAAAAGTTGTCAATTAGATTATTTGAGCATTCTATTTCTAAGATTTTTTATATTTTGATTACTTTATAATCAAAAATGATATTAGATAGAGTTACATGATATTATCTCAAGTTTATGTTTCATTTGTCAATTATTAAAAATCCGTAAATATTGATCGACTCCAATTACGATTTATAATTTTTTTATATTTATCTTCATATCTATATATAAGCCATTTAGTATATTATGTTATATGATATGTAAATCACGCATTGACTTAATTTCAATTGTTGATATGAATTTAATTATGCATAAATAAAATGTGTGTAGTATTAATTAAACATTTAGGCGACAATTTTTACCCCCCCGACAGAAGTTTTATAAAACGTCGCTTACTAAGTCCTCTCACCAAGATAAATTTTCTGATTATATCTTTTGTCAAATATATTTAGTTAAGTATTTTATTAAATATTAAAATTAATATTACTCTAATTTAACATTTAGTTTATTTATCCACATCTTATTATCTTTAAATATTAATATGATTTATCCAATCATAAAGGATATTTGATAAAGAAATTTACGAATGTGTTTCTAGGACAGAAGGAAGTTTTGGAACTGTGAGAGACGAGTATGCATGCAGAACAGAAATAAAGATGTTTTTGAACTATTTTGACTTATTAAAATGATGTATATTTTAAATGTTTGTATACCCTCAAATATAACCTTAAATTATTATTAAACTAATTTTATAATCTTAACTTATGACCAATGTGATTGGGTCCCTCTCAACCTTAAAATTCCAGGCCCTTCAAGGGTTTTCAATCCCTCCCTTTATTCGTTTGAGACGCTTGCGCGCCTGGCCCAAAACACAATTTTGCTCACCCTCCAAATCCCACTTTCTACTACTCATATACCAGTAAATTATCCAACCTACCGTAGGAGTAGTGTTGTTAATCTGCTTAGCCGAGTCGGCTCGAACAGAGCTCACCCGAATTTTGGGTCGTTTTTTTCGACTCCAACTCAAAGTTTTGGTCGTTTTTTACGACTTCGACCAGAGTTCAAGCCGAGAAAAACGACTTCGACCCAAAATATGGGTCGTTTTTTTCGACTCCGACCCAAGTCCAAGCCGAAAAAAACGACCTCGACCCAAAATATGGGTCGTTTTTTACGACTCCGACTCAAAATTTGGGTCGTATTTTTCGACTCAAACTTGAAATTTGGGTCGTATTTTTCGACTTAAACTTGAAGTTTGGGTCATATTTTTCGACTCAAACTTGAAGTTTGGGTCGTATTTTTCGACTAAAACTTGAAGTTTGGGTCGTATTTTTCGACTCCAACTCAAAGTTTGGGTCGTTTTTCTGACTCAGACTCAAACATCGGGTCGTTTTATTCAATCCGACCCAAAATATGGATCTTTTTTTTTAAAGACGACTTAAAGTTAGGGTTGCTTTTTTTCACCCCTAACCCAATTATCTAGATCATTTTTTTCGACCAAAAGTCAAATAACATTTAATATATATTAATATTATAGGCGGGAAAGTTACTTAAAGCTTCTTTAAATTATAATGCTCTGATTAACTATTCATCATAGTTATATTTTAAAATTTTTAAGTGATGTACCATAGAAAAGTGGCATTTGTCATGATAATTATTTTTGAACTTTTTTAAATGAAATAGATAAAAATATATATTGTGAAATAGATAAAAATATATATTGTAGACATGTTAAATCAAAATTTCAGTGATGATGTACCATAGATAAGTGGTAATTGTCATAATCGCTATTTTTGAACTCTTTTGAGTTTTTTTAAAGCAAATTGCTAAAAATATATATTCTAAACATGTTAAATTAAAAATTCAGTGAGGATGTATCATAGATAGGTGACAATTGTCATAATCGCTATTTTTGAACTTTTTCAAATTTTTTTAAAGGAAATATCTAAAAATATATATTCTAAACATGTTAAATTAAAAATTCAGTGAGGATGTATCATAGATAGGTGACAATTGTCATATACGCTATTTTTGAACTTTTTCAAATTTTTTTAAAGGAAATAGCTAAAAATATATATTCTAAACATGTTAAATTAAAAATTCAGTGAGGATGAATCATAGATAGGTGACAATTGTCATAATCGCTATTTATGAACTTTTACAAATTTTTTTAAAGGAAATATCTTAAAATATATATTCTAAACGGGTGGGGTGCCTTTGATCGTAAGACACTTCATCGTATTTTTCGTCCAATTCGTTCTAAAATGGAGATTAATAGATTTGAAATGGTAAAAATTTACATTAAATGTTAATAATTCTTTTAAAATGGTAAAATTTAATATATATTATTCAAATATAGAATATTTAGCAGGTTTCAAATGGTAAAAATTTATCTTAGCTCTTACACAATATCAAAAGAAAAACCTAGGATATAATTTCTACAGCAAATTAAGAAGATTAATAGGTTTAAAATGGTAAAATTTAATATATATTTTTATTCAAATATAGAATATTTAGTAGGTTTCAAATGGTAAAAATTTATCTTAGCTCTTACACAATATCAAAAGAAAAAAGGATATAATTTCTACAGCAAATTAAGAAGATTAATAGGTTTAAAATGGTAAAATTTAATATATATTATTATTCAAATATAGAATATTTAGCAGGTTTCAAATGGTAAAAATTTATCTTAGCTCTTACACAATATCAAAAGAAAAACCTAGGATATAATTTTTACAGCAAATTAAGAAGATTAATAGGTTTAAAATGGTAAAATTTAATATATATTATTATTCAAATATAGAATATTTAGCAAGTTTCAAATGGCAAAAATTTATCTTTTTATCTTAGCTCTTACACAATATCAAAAGAACAACCTAGGATACAATTTTTACAGCAAATTAAGAAGCTTATTTTATTATTCAAATTTATAATGTATATGTCATATGTTAATTATATCAAATGTATAAATCGAATACAAAAATATAAACAACTAATATTTATTTAGCATGTATAAAACAAATATAAATTATTTACAATGTAAAATACAATAATAAAAATTATATATTATCAAATACATTTGAATTATATACTAATTTAATATAAGCTGATGATTTATCAGCAATTCCAATTTATTAATATGATTATTATATTGTGTAGTCAGCTTTTCCAAATTTCTTTCTTTTAGGATATATTTGGAATTTGTTTTTTTAGAGTCATTCCTATGAGGTAATATAATGCCTAATAATTAAATGATTATAAATTTTGATAAACTTGATATGGCATTAAGGGTTGCATGTTAGGTGTTACTAGGGGTTGAGATTGAGCAAACATATTACCTAAAGTAATGAATATAAAAAGATAATAATTGATGATACTAGTTGAAGTTGGTTGAGAGTTTGTAACAAAGAACTGAGACTGAGTAAACATATTGCCTAAAAAAAATTGATTATAGAAATTTTATTTTGTGAAACTTGATATGGTATTAGTAGACTGCATGTTGGGCGTTGCTAGAATTTGAGATTGAGTTAGCTGATAGTCTAAAATTATATTGATTTTAAAAATCTAATATTTTATGAAACTTGATAATGAAGGTTGTATAATTTGTTGAGATAATTGGAATTGAGTTATTGGTTGACTATCAGACATAAGTAGAAGGTTATTGACTAAATAGGTGTTATAGTGAATTATCTATAAAAAAAACCCAATAGGGGATTTTCATTGTTCTAAGGTATGATCCTGAGTTTCTGTGAACTTACTGATTGGAAAATACCCCATCCAGAACAACTTCTTTTTCTACATCGGTAATATGATTTGGAATTAATTACTCTATGCATTGTATATTCCAAATCATTAAAACATAGAATATCATGTCCTCTTTTGGATTTTTTATAGTAATTTTGTTTTCTAAAATTACATTACTAAATTGATTATATCTAGATTGTTAATTTTGAATTATTTTGGGATTAATTCTTTTCTCAAGAAGAATTTTGATGTTGTTTGATACCGTTTTAATTTCCATTACAATGATTATAAAAAAAAATATTTTTAAACTATTACTTTTCCCGCACTTTAATGAACCAATCACAGAATTGGACGAAACTTTACGATGAAGTGTCTATACATTCATAGGCACGGAAATCATTCTAAACATGTTAAATTAAAAATTCAGTGAGGATATCATAGATAGGTGACAATTGTCATAATCAATATTTTTGAACTTTTTTCAATTATTTTAAAGCAAATAGCTAAAAATATATATTCTAAACATGTTAAATTAAAAATTCAGTGAGGATGTATCATATATAGGTGACAATTGTCATAATCGCTATTTTTGAACTTTTTCAAATTTTTTTAAAGGAAATATCTAAAAATATATATTCTAAACATGTTAAATTTAAAATTCAGTGAGGATGTATCATATATAGGTGACAATTGTCATAATCGCTATTTTTGAAATTTTTCAAATTTTTTTTAAGGAAATATCTAAAAATATATATTCTAAACATGTTAAACTAAAAATTCAGTGAGGATGTATCATATATAGGTGACAATTGTCAAAATCGCTATTTTTGAACTTTTTCAAATTTTTTTAAAGGAAATAGCTAAAAATATATATTCTAAACATGTTAAATTAAAATTTCAGTGAGGATGTATCATAGATAGGTGACAATTGTCATAATCGCTATTTTTGAACTTTTTTAAAGGAAATATCTAAAAATATATATTCTAATTAAATTTAAAATTCAGTGAGGATGTATCATAGATAGGTGACAATTGTCATAATCGCTATTTTTGAACTTTTTCAAATTTTTTTAAAGGAGATAGCTAAAAATATATATTCTAAACATGTTAAAGTCACATATCTATGATACATCCTCACTGAATTTTTAATTTAACATGTTTAGAATATATATTTTTAGATATTTCCTTTAAAAAAATTTGAAAAAGTTCAAAAATAGCGATTATGACAATTGTCATCTATATATGATACATCCTCACTGAATTTTAAATTTAACATGTTTAGAATATATATTTTAAGATGTTTCCTTTAAAAAAATTGGAAAAAGTTCAAAAATAGCGATTATGACAATTGTCACCTATCTATGATACATCCTCACTGAATTTTTAATTTAACATGTTTAGAATATATATTTTAAGATATTTCCTTTAAAAAAATTTGAAAAAGTTCAAAAATAGCGATTATGACAATTGTCACCTATCTATGAT